CGCTGCGACTCGTCGCTCCCGGGGATGAAGGGCAGGCGCCCCGCGAGCATGACGAAAACGCACAGGCCGCAGCCCCAGATGTCGACCCGCTCGCTCCTCGGAACCATTCACCTCCATCCTCCTTCTCCGCTGCCGCCGCCTCTTCCTCCTCCTCCTCGTCTTTCATCTCCTCCTCCTCCTCCTCCACCTCCTCCTCCTCCTCCTCTTTCTCCTCCTGCTCTCCTGCTTGCTCCTCCTGCTCCTCCTACTCTCCTCTCTCCTTCCTCTCTCTCTCCACCTCCTCTTTCACCATCCTCCTCCTCCCTCCTCCTCCTCCTCCTCCTCCTCCTCCTCCTCCTACTCTCCTCTGTCAAAACCTCCTCCTCCTCCTCTTCCTCCTGCTCCTGCTCCTGCTTCTACTGCCTCCTCCTCCTCCTGCTCCTCCTGCTCCTCCTCCTCCTCCTCCTCCATCATTCCTTTTCCCGATAAAGAACTCATCCCTGTCGCACCCAGACGCCCGTCGAAAGGGTGGGCCGGGCGTTTCGCCTGACACATCCTCACCATTGTGACCCTGAAGCTCAAACATTCGCAGCAGCTTCACAACTGGAGGGCGGGCAGTTTCCAAAATATGGCTTTCGCCTTAGCGCCGCGCAGATTTGTTATCAAGATTTGCAAGAGCCTCCCGGGTTGAGGGCGGGTGGTTTTCAAAATGTGGCTCTCGCCCTAGCGCCGCGCACATGTGTGTCAACATGTTGCAAGAGTTTCACGGATTGAGGGCGAGTGGTTTGCAAAATGTGGCTCTCGCTTTAGCGCCGCGCGCATTCGTTTTCAAAATTTGCAAGAGCTTCACGGATTGAGGGCGGGTGGTTTTCAAAATGTGGCTCTTGCCTTAGCGACGCGCACATGTGTTGTAAACGTTTGCAAGAGCCTCACGGATTGAGGGCGGTTCGATTTCAAAATGTGGCTCTCGCCTTAGCAGCGCACACATTCGTGTCAAAATGTTGCAAGAGCTTCATGCCTCGATGGCGGCTCGTTTTCAAAATGTGGCCCTCGCCTTAGCGCCGCGCGCATTCATTCTAAATATTTGCAAAGGTTTCACGGATCCCCATGGTCAACGTGCCAGAAATGGTGTTCTGGAAGGGCTCAGGAATGCGAGGGCGCACGAGTCGTGTTGACTCGATGTGCTGAAGTCACAAAGGTAGCGTTCTGGCACCATCCCGGATCGCCACGACGCAACACTCATGTTGCGGCGGCCTCCCATCGCCCGGAGTGCGGCCAGCGCCAGCACCCATCCATCAATCGGAAAAATCAACAGCGTCCTCCTCCACCTCCTGGGTGACAGGCGGAGCCTCGCCTTCCTTCCGTCGAAGTGGCTCTGCCACACGGCGGAGCTGTGACACGGACGACGGCCGCCCTCCCTCGTCGCTGGGGAGGCAGGCGTCCAGAGGGGGAGGGGCGACAGAATCTCCTCCCTCCTGAATAATCTCGCCATCGCTCGGACGTCCATTCCCTGTGTTTTTGTTCGGTTTCGTGCGTGGTTTTTCGCCAAATGATCAAGGATGCTCCTCGATGGTCCTCGCCGAGAAAAAAATGCACACGTCCGAGCGATGCCAGGTAGTAGGAGGGAGGGCACTAGCGACAGACGGAGACTCGCCACCAACTCGACCTGAGGCGGCCTCCCGTCGCCCCAGGTGCGGCGCCGCCGCCAGACCCCATCCATCAAACAGAAACTCGCAAGCGTCCTCCTCCTCCCCCCGAGTACAGTCGGCCTGGATTGGACAGGACACGCGAGAGGACACAGGACCCTTCCGAGGGCCACATCGCCATGGGAGCGTAAGAAGGCACTTGTCGCGAGGCACAGGACACAAGGGTACCCTTGAGCTGGCAAGGTCGACCTACTAATCTCGGGTCGGGCGAAAGGGGGGGATAGCAAAGGGGGGGGTTGAGAATCAGCACACGTAGCTGATCTTCCTGGCGCCAGAGGCGGCCATGTATCGAGGAATGGGCCCCTCGGTGAGGCCGAAACCAGCTGCATGCAGCAAATTTCGTAGCCCCCCCTTTCCCAATCCCCCCCTTTCCCCCGGCCCGATGATCCGGGCCGACTGTAACAAGCGGAGCCTCATCCTCCTCCCGTCGAGGGGCCTCTGCCACACTGCCCTCGGCCCTGCTCGACCGACCGGCCCCCCCCGCCCGCTCTCCCGCTCGCCATCCTGCCTCGGCTGCTCGTGCTCTCCTCTTTGTGGTGCCACGGTTTCCCTCGCCCTCGCCCTGAGGCGGACCGCAAGCGAGCCCCTCCAGGGCACGAAACGAGCTGTGTTTTCCGTTTTCGTATTGTTATCGTTGTCCCTCGGCTGTCTTCGTTCCGCCTTGGCTGCAAAACAGCATCAAAATGAAAACGGTCCACGGAATCGCCAAAACTCAGCTCAGTTCGCGCCCTGAGCTCTTCCACCCTGACCGTCAACAAAAGAAGAAACGTAGCCAACTTACACCAGACTTTTTGTAACTCCCACGGGGGCGAGGACTCATCTGGATGCCCGCAGGGGGGTTCTCCGCTGGACCCCCAGAGGCAGGGAAACTGGCGGCGCCTTTACGCTTGGTAGCGCCCAGGATGTAAGCAGAACTCGTCAGGATATGCGTAGGACCACAGTCGACTGGGCCCCCAGGTGTCGGCGGCAACGGCGGTATGATTGCCGACACCCAGGGGGCGAGGCCTGGTTAGATCTGCGCATGACAGCACACCGTTGGATCCCCCATGGGCACAGGAAACTGGCGACTGCCGAGAGTTTGACAGCACCCATGGGACGCAAATGACAACTTGAACTGCACAGCTTGAACTGCACATGACAACTTGAACTGCCCATGAACGACCCCAATTGCGGCGACCCCCCTCGTCTGGGGTTGCCAACCGTGTCCCTGGCCCCAGATCTCTCCAGCTCTCCACTCGGGCCTCGTCACAGGTGGCCCGGAGGCCATCTGGGCCTCCCGAAAAGATTCCAGGGACACCCTGAGCCCGAACACATTTGGCAAGGCCCAGCCTTGGCAATCCTCAGCTGGATCGCGCCGCGAAGTCGGATGCATCGGATCGCCAGCGAATCGACCCGAACCGAATCGAGATCGGAACGCCGCTGCTGGCTCCGGCTGGCCCCAGCCGATGCTGGTGAACCGAGCCAAATCGGTTCGAATCGGAACTGCGGCCGCAGCCGGCGACTCGGCTCGCAGCGAAGCGCGGGCGGCCCTGCCGTGGCGCTGCCCGAGCCCCGCGCGCTGCCGCCACAGACTGCAAGCAGTGTCTCTGGCCTACTGGCCATCGCTCGGACGTCCATTTCCTGTGTTTTTTCAGTTTCGTGCGTGGTTTTTTCGCAAAATGATCGAGGATGCTCCTTGAAGGTCCACGCCGAGAAAAAAAATGCACACGTCCGAGCGATGCCAAGCCTAGGGTCTCCCCAGCTCTTCGCTCCACCTTGGAGCCCCTGGGGCCTCGAGGCCACCCCTGGGCTTCAGTCGGGCGTGTCCCCCTACAGGGGGATTTTGTGCGAAAAATGCAAAATACTCACAAAATACCCCCCACGTGCTCAAAAGTAGTCCAAAAATCATCCCCTGACTAATATTTGACAATTTTTGAATATTCCTCCTATAGAGGAACACGCCCGACTTACCCCTGGGCCTGGAGCCCATCAGGGCATCCCGAGATCCTGGGGACACCCTTGGGCCTGGGACACCCTTGGCGAGGCCCGGCCTTGGCGCTGCCCGAAACCGACGGTGCGCTTCCGCCCCAAAGCTCCAGGTGCCCGAGTGGATCTCCGGGGCGGCGTAGAGCCTAGTGCCCCGCACGGAGAGCATCGCCGTGGCGCCCGCGTGATCGCCGATCCTCTTGGCGGAGTTGAAATCCGCGAGCTTCAGCCGGAGCTCGCCGGCGTCGTCGCTCAGGAGGGCGTTTTCGGGCTTGACGTCCCTATCAGACGAGAGGGAACTACGGCAGGTTCGTGTCGTGTCGACCTTGGCGTTGGCTTCTGACACCTCGGGGATCGTTCAACCTTGAACGATCGAACGTGGCCGAAAACGTCAGCTCGTTCAACATCGACCGATTCTGGGTCGCGGGCGGCGTTCCACGTTGAACGCGGGATCGCCGCTGGTCGAAACGACGCGAACTTACCGTATGCACCTGCGTCGATTCCTGCCAGTGCCCGCCCTGGGCCCAGGATCGGTGCGTGTGCCCTCTTGGCTCGGCCAGGGAGGCCTGCACACCCATCTTGGGTCCCAGGGCTGGCATCGGTGGGTGTATCGGGGGCGTTGAAGAGGGGGGCGTCCAAGAGGGGGGGGCGCAAATGATGGCCCGCGGCATATGCGCGGACCACTGGGGGTCAGGGCACGTACTGAAATAAGAAGAGGCGCCATGAAATCTGGGGAGATATCATGGCCCCCGCAATCCCCCTCCAAGTCATCACCCCCCTCTTGGTCGCCCCCGAGTATAGGTGGCGCCCTCCGGCCTGTGCACGTACCGCTTCTGGTGAAGGTGGTTCACGGCGCTCAGCAGCTGGTGCGCCAGCGAGCGCGCGTCGGTCACGTCGATCGTCCCACGGAATTTGACGTACTTCGTGACGCTGCCCAGGTTGCAATACTCCATGCAGATCCAAGCGCTGCTTTCAGTCTCATGCCACGCGGAAGCGCGGACGATCGCTGAGTGGGAGATGCTGGACATGATGGCATACTCCTCCTCGGCGGCACGCCGGGTCTCAGAGTCCGAGTCGCACCTGTGAGGCGACGCGGCAGCAAAGTATCAAATTCTCAATTCTCTCACTCCGGTGGTAAGTGCCGCTCGGGATTTCTCACCACGGGATCAAAGTGCAACTCGCATGTCTACAAGAAAAGAAGACGTCATCCTTCTCCATTTCGTCATCCTTCCTCCTCTCTCCTCTCCTATCATCATTACCGTTCCTCATGGTCACTCTTCCATCTCATCCCTACTTCCTCCACCTTCTGCCTCCTCCTCGTCCTCCTCCCCCTTGTGTTCCATCACTCCATCCCTCCAATCCCCCCTCCCAGCGTCTTCAGGTGGATCAGGCGAGGCCATCCTGATTTCAGCGAGCCCGTACCCTGAAATCATCATCATCATCATCATCATCATCATCATCATCATCATCATCATCATCATCATCATCATCATCACCATCCTCCTCATCATCATCATCGTCATCATCACCATCATCATCAACCTCATCCTCATCCTCATCCTCATCCTCATCATCGTCCTCATCATCATCAGCAGCATCATCATTATTAGCATTATCACTATCATTTTCATTATCAGCATCATGACCATCATCTACGTCAGCAGCATCATTATCATCATCAGCAGCATCAGCATCCTCCTCATCATCATCAGCATCATCAGCAGCGTCATGATCATGATCATGATCATGATCATCATCATCATCACCATCATCAACATCAGCAGCATCATCAATCATCCTCAGCAGCATCAACAGCAGCATCGTCATCATCATCAGCATCATCATCAACAGCATCATCAGCATCATTATCAGCATCATCATCACCACCACCATCATCAGCATCATCAGCATCATCATCGTGGTCAGCATCACCATCATCAACATCATCATCATCATCATCATCAGCAGCAGCATAATAATCATCATCATCATCATCATCATCATCATCATCATCATCATCATCATCATCATCATCATCATCATCATCAGGGGAGGGGAGGGGACAGAAGGGCAGGGGGACACGAGGAACGGGGAGGACAGATGAGAAGCCAGTCGGGAGTCGGCACGCCCTGGCCCAGAGAGCACAGGAGCGAGTGCCCACAGAGCTAAGGGCTGCGCCGCCACCGCGGAGCGGCACAGCTTTGTCTGGAGACCATGGCTGCAGGCTGCCTTTCACAGTCCACTCCCCCGCACCTCCTCCTTCGGGCTTCGAGCTGCAGACCGTACCTTTCGATGAAGCGAGGCCCTGGATGGCAACCCTCCCAGCCAACGCCGGCGGGAGGGTGAGTTCCTCCTCCTCCTCCTCCTCCTCCTCCTCCTCCTCCTCCTGCCTCGACCGCCCGAAGATCGGAGCTGCTGGGCGCCTACCTGGTCCTTCTCCTGGGCCCCCCGCGGCCGCTGGAGACCCCCCCCCCTTCTGGGGAGATTGAGGGGGCCCTGGGACACACAAACAGATACACACAAATAAATGGATTCCCCATATTTTCCCATATTTTCTGGGTTTTCGTCTTCCCCCCCACTTCCCATGTTTTCCCATATTTTCCTGGGGGATCGACGAGAAATTGCGCCTGTGTTTTTTCCCCTCCTGAGAGAGGGGCGGAGTGGGGACTGGCCTGGTGCTCATCGGGGGCGTCCAAGAGGGGGCGTCCACGAGGGGGGTCGCAGATCGTGACCCGAGGCACCTGCGCGGCCCAGGAGTGGGTCAGGGGATCTGCCGCAAGAAGAAGGGCGGGGCATGAAACCTGGGGAGATATCATGGCCCTCGTCACGATATCCACCCCCCCTGGTCCGCACCACTCGATAAGGGCTTGCTGACTTCTGCCGTCCCTCGACTGTCCCTGGAGCGGCAACGATTTGCTCAACATTTCCATGGAGATCTCTGGATTTAATTGGATTGACTTGGAATTGCCCAGATTTGCTTCGACTTACCTCGAATTATCTGCATTAACCTTGACTTACGTGACTTGATCCCCACAAGTCGATTGGCGCAAAGTCGTCAAGCTCCTTAGGGAACCACCCTCTTGGACGCCACGTGAACACAGAGGGCAATAAAAAAAGACACGTCATGAATACCACAGTGAAGGAGTTCAATAGGCTGACAGAGCGAGCGGCCACGGCCATCCCCCGCAGGTCGCTAGCCGGCACGTCTCCTTGCAGCAGGGTCGACTCGCGCGTCGTTCGTTCGTTCGTTCCCTCTTTGACGCCCCCGAGCTTGACGAGTGCCTGTTGGCTTGGCCTGCGCCCAATCGCACCTGATCTGCTTCAGCGCCACCATCTCCCCGTCGGAGCGCCGCTCGGCGAAGTGGACCGTGGAGAAGGTGCCCGAGTCGAGGACGGCCTCGGACCTGTAGACGGTCTCGAGCGGAGACGGCGCCGCGGACAGCTCCCTGCCGACCCTGGAGGCCGCGACGAGCCGCCAGGCCTCGCCCGCGCCGGCCAGCCTCAGGGACGGCACGCTCCTCCGGCACCTGAGCGAGGACACCTTGACGAACGAACAACACACACCCATACCCATAGGGGGAACGTTGGGAAGAGGACTGGCTATGGGTATGGGTGCGGGTTGTCGGATCCTGGGGGGCGTTTCCTTTCGAGCGGGGACCTCCATCCGACAACACGCACCCATAGCCCCCTCCGTCCCACCTATGGATATGGGTGCGTGTTGTTCGTTCGTCACACCTTGCCCATGGGGATGCAGAGTCCCGAGTCACCGAGGGAGGAGGGCAGGGAGGGCGCCGGAGGGAGGGCGGTCCCGGAGAGCGAGGTGCCCCACGTGCTGCCAGGGGAGGGCCTGGCGGCCCCCCGAAGCGGCCCCGGGCGAGGCCCGCGGAGGGCCGCCGAGGGCCCAGGACGGCCCAGGAGCTGGGGGCACCTCGGGCCAGGGACACACGACTGTCGACAGCCGAGAGGGGGGAGGAGGGCGAGGAGGCGGAGGAGGAGGAGGAGAACAAGAAGACGAATCATACGAACAATACGAATAAGAACAACAACATGAATAATACTAGTAATACGACTGATGTACTAATAACAATTCGTTATTAGTAAATGTTTCGAATTGGTATTGCTATTATCATGTTTACAACGAAAATAGCAATACCAACAATAACAATAATACTGATGATGATGATGATGATGATGATGATGATGATGATGATGATGATGATGATGATGATGATGATGATGATGACGAGACCAGCAGTCATAATCACATTGCGAGTAGTACCAATAGTAATCCATACTATTAAAATCCGCCGACCCTGTCGGCGTGTGGAAGACGCATCCCGGTGTCGTCGTCTTGCGTGGATCACGTCGTCGTCGTCGTCGTCGTCGTCGTCGTCGTCGTCTCCGTCGTGTCCTCGTCGTCTCCGTCTCCGTTGTCCCTCGTCGTCTTCGTCGTTCCCCGTCTCCTTGAGCGCGCGAGCCAAAGCGACATTGAGCAACGTCGTAGTTGAGTCGTGGCGAAGCCCCTCCCTACCCTCCCCGCCGGGGGGGGGGGGGTCGCCGGGGGGGTCGCCACCCAGATACGCATCCTCCCCGGGGGGTCCCGGAGCTCAGAAAAGCTTCAAGACGAGCCAAGAGCGACAGAAGACACCCCCAAAAGGGTACAAGAGGGCCTCGACTCGACGAACGATGGCCCCAAGACGCCCAAGACGGCCCGAAGACGGCCCAAGAGGCCCTCAAGACGCTCCAAGAGAGCCCCAAGAGCACACCCGAGAGGGCCCCAGGCGCCAAAATCGTCAATTTTACATAGGTTTTTGAATGATTTTGGCCTTCTCGCCTTTTCGGCTTTCCGACACTCCAAGACGGCCCAAGAGGCCCCCAAGAGGCCCCCAAGAGCGCCCCAAGAGGCCTACAAGAGGGCCCCAAGACGGCCCAAGAAGGCCCCAGGACAGCCTAAGAGGCGCCCAAGACGGCCCAATAGGGCCCCAAGACGGGCCCAAGAAACGGCCAAGAGGGGGACGAGGAACCGAGAATTCGAGACTTCCGCCCTAAGAGGCCCCCGGGAAGCCCCAAGAGGCCCCCAAAAGGCCCCAAGAGGCCCCCGAGCGGCGCCAAGACGCCCCCAAGATGCGCCGAAGACGGCCTCCGGAAGCCCCAAGAGGCCCAAAAGAGGCCCCAAGAGGCCCCACAACGGCCCCCAAGAGGCTTCAAGTTGCCTTCCAGACGCCCCCGAGAGGTCAACCACGAGATCCCAACCAACATCCATAAGGCCTCCTCCTCCTCCCCCTTCACCCTTCCTCCTCCTACTCCCTTCCGCCTCCTCCTCCTCCTCCTCCTGCCCCCCCCCTCGTGTTGTCTTTCGTCATCTTCAGGGTCGGCGGCAACGGCCGTAAGGCCTTCGCAATCCTTATGGATAACGAACAAATGCGTACAATAGTGATAATCCGCAGGCCCCCTTGTGGGGCCACCAGGCTGTAGGGCGAAGGTTCGCAGTTTCCTGTACCAGTTGCAGCTTCCAGTTTCCTCTGTTACAGTTCTGCTTCTTGCTGCTCACTGTTCCTTGTTGACTTCTTGCTGCTTACTGTTCCTTGTTGATGGACCGCGCGAGCGGGGGAGGCCCAAAACGGGCATTTTTACTATGCCCTGACCGTGTGCTCTGAATTGCTGGGGTGGGTAACAATTGACACCCCTCACGCAGATCGGCAGGGTCAGGGTCCAAAAACACAAGGGATTTGCCACATTTCTGAAACTCGGTGAAACCCCTCACGCAGATCGGCGGGGTCAGGGTCCAAAAACACAAGGGATGTGCCACATTTCTGAAATTTGCTGACACCCCTCACGCAGATCGGCAGGGTCAGGGTCCAACAACACATGGGATTCGCCACATTTCTGACATTCGGTGGCACCCCTCATGCAGATCGGCGGGGTCAGGGTGCAAAAACACAGGGGATGTGCCGCATTTCTAAAATTTGGTGACGCCCCTCAAGCAGATCGGTGTGGTCAGGGTCCACAAACATATTTGTCTGACACATGTTTAACATTCGGCGGCACCCCTCACGCAGATCGGCAGGGTCAGGGTCCAAAAACACAGGGGATGTGCCACATTTCAAAATTCGGCGGCACCCCTCACGCAGATCGGCAGGGTCAGGATCCAAAAACACAGGGGATTTGCTACATTTCTGAAATTTGCTGGCACCCCTCACGCAGATCCGTATGGTCAGGGTCCAAAACACACAAGGGATTTGCCACATGCAGATCCGTAGGGTCAGGGTCTAAAAACAAACAGGTCCCGACACTGCTTCACGGCGGCGCCCAGACCTCATGATTTAGCTTTTGCATCTCCCATTATCCGAGACAGGGGGCCGGCGGCATGGGGCGAAGCCCTTACGGATAGTAATAATAATAAGAAACATAATCATACTGATACTGAAAATAATCATAAGCATAAGATGATGAAGATGAAGAACAATAATAATACTGGGAAGAAGAAGACTGGGGTAAGGAGGAGAGGAGGCCAAGGTCGAGGTCGAGGTCGAGAACGAGGAGCCAGACGACGACTAGGGCAAGAAGGAGAAGTGAGCGAGCTAAGGAGCATGACAACAAGCGAGGAGAGAAGGATGGATGCCAGTCTCTGCGGACAAGTTGGACTGGAGTCGGCCAGGTCCAGAGTGCGACCATCCCACCTCGGAGGGACACACGAACTGCATCTTCCCCTCTCCTCTCCTCTCCTCTCCTCTCCTCTCCTCTCCTCTCCTCTCCTCTCCTCTCCTCCTCCTCCTCCTCCTCCTCCTCCTCCTCCTCCTCATCCTCCTAATCCTCTTCCTTCTCCTCCTCGTCCTCCTCGTCTCGTCGTCGTCGTCTCCTCCTTCTCCTCCTCCTCCTCCTCCTCCTCCTCCTCCTCCTCCTCCTCCTCCTCCCTCCTACTCCTCCCTGGGTTCCCTCCCTCCCTCGCTCCCTCCCTCCCTCCCTCCCTCCCTCCTCCTCCTCCGCCTCCTCCCTCAGGCAACTTGGGCTCGAGCGGTGGTGGTGCCCCAGCGGGCGCCCTCCCACTTCCAGAGCTCGCCTCTGGGCTTCCGCGCAGCGCTTGAGGGACTCTGGTCTCTCACACAGTCAGACTTGAAAGGCCATCGACTAACACAGAGGCAGTAGCAGCAGTGGCGGCTCTCTGGAGCCGATGCGGAAAGTGCAACACTGGCAAGTGGAATAAGATCTTGCGCACACGCAACCTCAAATGTGCAGGGTGTGGCGGCAAGGTTGAGCTGTGTCGTCCCAAGCCCAAGGTCCACTTCAGCGATGATCAGGAGCCGTTCGAGGAGGGCATGTGGCTCGACGCGGACAGCGGCAGTGAGGCGGAGGGGGTGCGCAAGCCCCTCCCTGCGAGCATCCTTCGCTCGCCACGGGAGCGCGCGGCCTCTCCTGGCGGCAAGCGCGGTGGCAAAGACAGGGGCAGCTCCGTCCAGGAGCTCCTGCAGCAGGCGGTGGCCACAGCAAAGGACCCGCAGCTCCAGGCCGACCTCCAGGCGCGGTTGGACAAGCTGGGCCAGGGGGGCCACTCCTCCACGCCGAAGGTGAGCGTGTCGGAGGAGTTCAGGCGGGCAGACGGCGCTTGGCGAGACGCTGAGCACCGGCATCAACAAGCCGTGGCGAATGTCGTTCGCTTACGCAGCAACCTGATGACTGCGGAGGCGAAGGAAAAGACAGCGGCTCTCGCACTTGCGGAGGCGGCGGACAGCAAGCTCCAGGCAGCTCAGGCAGTCGCCAAGGCTGAGGGAGTGAGGGTCGACGACGCCGCCCAGAACAAGAGTGAGGTGAACCAGGAGAAACCCATGATCAGCGTCTCGACAAGCTTCCTTCTTCGACAACCTCGACGACTTATAGGCGACGGAGACGGAGAAGACAGCACTGGCGGGCCTTCGTGACCAGCTCAAGAGTGTGAAAGCTCACCTCCAGGGCAAGGAAGCGGAGATCCAGGAGTGGCTGCAGACGGTCCAGGAACGCCGACAGGAGATCGAGGAGCGGCTCGCCAAGAAGCGGCGCCAGGCCGTGCCAGACGATCCCTCGGGCGCTGCGAGAACGGCTGGCGGGCAGCGCCCCCCGTCAGCCGACGCTCCAGCGGCGGCGGCTCCTGCCGCCCCTCCAGCCGGGGGCCCTGGGGGCTCAGGCGGCGGAGCGGCCGTCGCAGGCCAAGTTCCAGGCGGAGGCGCTGAAGAGCAAGGCCAGCGGCAAGGGCACGGCGGCCACGGCGGGCGCGGCGGAGACGGCGCCTGCCGGGGGCGGCACTACTGGCTCGTGACTACGTACAGACTTTCGGCAGCCAGGGGAGGCCGCCGAGCAGGGGGAGAGCGAAGACATTACGAAGTTGTTCCACGGCAATGTCGCCAGTCTCTCTGACAAGACGTGGAAGTTCATAGAATCCAAGTCCAAGGCATACGAGTATTGGGCCCTCGTCGAGACTCACGTGGTCGTGCAGTCGGAGATACGAGAGTGGGATGCTAAGAGTCGTATGTTCGGACTCCGCATGCATCATAATCCTGCAACAAAATCTGGCAAAGTAGTTAGATCGCAGAAGCAAGCCCGCTCAAACGAAGGGGGCGAACTTTTTCTTGTCAAAGTTCACCTCCAAGCGCACACGTTGCAGGAGGCTCGGGTTGCGGCTCGCAATTTCAAGAATAGTAAATCAGTCAGCCCTAGAGGGGTTCTTACCCATGACAATGCATTTATCAGGTTATTCGATTGTGCTCATTGTG